GAAGTTGATGAAAGAATTAAATCGGACGAGGGTGAGGCAGGACTGCAAAAAGACCTGGACAGGCTGGACATGTGGTCCAGTAACTGGCTTCTCGAATTCAATCCAGCCAAATGCAAAGTCATGAAGATTGGAGAGGGGCAAAGAAGACCGCAGACAGAGTATAGGCTAGGTGGACAAAGACTACAGACCTCACTCAGAGAGAAAGACCTTGGGGTGACCATAATACCGAGCACATCACCGGAGGTACACATCAACCAAGTAAACCGCTGCAGCATACGGGCGCCGGGCAAACCTGAGAATAGCGTCCGATACCTTAATAAGGAATCGTTCAAGACACTTACACTGTGTATGTTAGGCCCATACTGGCGTATGCAGCACCAGTCTGGAACCCACACCTGGTCAAGCACGTCAGGAAGTTAGAGAAAGTACAAAGGTTTGCAACAAGGCTAGTCCCAGAGCTCAAGGGAATGTCGTACGAGGAAAGGTTAAGGGAATTCGGACTGACACACTGGAGGAAACAGAAGGGTCAGGGGAGACATGATAACGACATACAAGATACTGCGGGGAAATAGACAAGGTGGACAGAGATAGGATGTTCCAGAGAGGGGACACAGGGACAAGGGGTCACAACTGGAAGCTGAAGACTCAGACGAGTCACAGGGACGTTAGGAAGTATTTCTTCAGTCAGAGTTGTCAGCAAGTGGAATAGCCTAGCAAGTGAAGTAGTGGAGGCAGGAACCATGCATAGTTTTAAGAAGAGGTATGACAAAGCTCAGGAAGCAGAGAGAGAGAGGACCCAGTAGCGATCAGTGAAGAGGCGGGGCCAGGAGCTGAGTCTCGACCCCTGCAACCACAATTAGGTGAATTAGGCGAGTACACACACACCACACACACACACACACACACACACACACACACACACACACTTGATCCTTGATCCAAAAGGAATAGGAAATATCTTCCTTGGATATATTCTGATTGCCTCTCATTCTCCAAGAGCTGTATGGCCCATACGGGTTTAGTAGTTCCCACCTTGAGATATGCTAATGTGAGATAATTCGAAACGAGGCAGTGTCAAATTATTTCACAAAATAAATAACCGAAGTAGAAAGAGCCCCCCCCCCCCACCGTGAACCTCTGTAAGTATCCCGATAACGAGAACGCTTAGCAAATCCTCGTAATAGGCAGTCTTGTGTTAGAGAAATGAAATCTACGGATGGCGTCATGTTCACTGCAGTTGCGCAATTTTGTACGATTTCTTTTATGCTCTCCTTGTTGGTGATGGAGGTACGGATCAGTGCTGGTGATGGAGGTACGGATCAGTGCTGGTGATGGAGGTACGGATCAGTGCTGGTGATGGAGGTACGGATCAGTGCTGGTGATGGAGGTACGGATCAGTGCTGGTGATGGAGGTACGGATCAGTGCTGGTGAACCGCAGTCAACAAGGGAGAGACCTGCTTACCGATAGCATGATCTAGTGCCAGCGTGGGAGTTTGTTATGCCTCTCACGGTCTTGATTCTTTGGAGAGTCAGAGACGTGGTGTATTCCGTGTTTCCGAAACGCTTGTCTTTTATTTTTCTTTTGCAATAAAAGTACCAAAGCGTTCTCATCTCCTGGGCTGCGGCCCGCAAGTCGACTAGCACCCAGGTACCTACTTACTGCTAGGTAACAAGGAGCAGCATGTTTAAAGAAACATGCCCACTGTTTCCACCTGTGCCGGGGATCGCACGCGAGTTGGATGCGCTTCCAACCGAGTAACGGGACAGTTGAGTTAGTTTCTGTTTAAGATCAAGGACTCCTTCCTGTGGGGCGCCATTTGTTGACTGTTTCCTGTTCCGAAGACATTCTCCAAGTCAGGATTGGAGAAACTGCCCTAGACGCCCTTAGGTGTCAGCAGAGAAAAAGTTGAGATTACTTTTGAGGTCAAAATAGGCTTCTATACTGGAGGGTATCTTGTATGTTGTGACCTGAGAAGCGTTTCAGTACTTTCATTTAGGCCTACATCCTGTGTGAGTACAGAGATATGCTGCGTAACTTGTTCACCAGCATATATATTTAATTTAAACGCTCAGTATCTATAGATGTTCTTGAAGACACAGTTGCCCAATATTTACTAATGTTATAAATGAAGAAAGAACAATAAATAATGGCAGTGAAAACAATAATGATAAAGAGAATGATAACGAGACAGCATAAAATAACCATTCATAATATGCGTGATGATGGAGTAAATTGTTATTCTTATTATTATTATAAAAAAAGAAGCGCTAAACCTACTAGGGTCATTCAGCAGGGTATGGGAGGGTGCAGGGGTATTGGGTACAAGACAGAGAGGGATTATTAGGGCATGGAATGCAGCGAGGCAGTGGATAGTGCCGGGGTAGAGGGTAGCAAGAGACTGAGGTAGAGAGAGCTGTGAGGAGTACTAAGGCTCACCCTCAGAGTTTGTGCAGTAAATCAGTTGCTGTTAAAAAGTCAACGAGAGAGTCTGGGTTAAACGCCATCCACAGGAAGGGAAGGTAAAGTAAGGGCAGTAGAGCGGTGACGACGTGATAAAGGGGTAGAAGTAGGCGAAAAGGCACGGAAGGGGGCAAGAGAAACAGAGAAAAAGGGAAATGACAGTGGAAAACAAAGCTGAATGTAGTTGAGAGAGAAGTCAAAGAGAATAAAAATTAGAACTGACAAGATTATTGGTTCCAACAAGATTAAGACGTGAGGAATTTGACGTCAAACATTCTACAAGAATTCCTAATTTTAAATAGAAAGAATAATAATAAAACCTTGCTTTATTTATCTTAAAAGATTGATTAGGATCCTTGTCAGAGGAGAGTGCAGTTGGAGCAGGTCACTCCTGTCTCCGGAGCAGGAGCTCGGGGTCTGCCTTCTCCGACTTCCTGACCTTATTGACACTACCTGCACATGCAGGATACGTAGCAGGAGCCAGGCACCTGCTCCTACTTCCTGACACCACCGACACACGCAGCAGTGGCAGGAGCCAGGCACCTGCTCCTATTTCCTGACACTATAACACCACCGACACACACAGCAGTGCAGAACCGCACCTGCTCTACTTCCTGACACTATAACACCACCGACACACACAAGCAGTGGCAGCAACCAGACACCTGCTCTTACTTCCTGACACTATAACACCACCGACACACACAGCAGTGGCAGGAACCAGGCACCTGCTCCTACTTCCTGACACTATAACACCACCGACACACAGCAGTGGCAGGAACCAGGCACCTGCTCCTACTTCCTAACACTAACACCACAGGCACACACACAGCAGTGGCAGCAGCCAGACACCTGCTCTTACTTCCTGACGTTATAACACCACCGACACACACAGCAGTGGCAGGAGCCAGGCACCTGCTCCTACTTCTTGACCCTGTGTCGCTCACTATGAGCCTGGGGTGTAGTGTATAGATACATATGCATTGCCTTTTGTCTCTGGTCCGCAAGTTACGGCGAACTTCGTTAGTTTTGCTGTCACAACTTTTCAACAATCTCTAGTCGAGGCAGACACGAACGCTGTCAGTTCCTCTGTTTGCATACACTCAGGAAAGTTTTCTGGGTGGAATATTTCACTCGACTGAGCCTCTGTTAACGCATTTTGTGGCGACTGTGTCTTCTCTCGATAAAGGGTGTTAGAACGAGCCTTGTTAGATAGGGTAAGTAAGTCGGGTAAGCATGAACCTCAAGAGGTTCTATCTGTATGAACCTCGTGAAGTTCATACGGACAGAACCAAAAGGCACAATATCGTGACTGGAACAATATACAAATAACCCGAAATAGGAGAGAGAAAAGGTTACGACGACGTTTCGGTCCGACTTGGATCATTTACAAAGTAAATGTGACTTTTACAAATGGTCCAGTGAAGGGGTTTTTGATCCAAGAAATTGAAGCTGCCATACTCTTACTCGGCTCAAACCTGATTACCTCTCCTTACTCAGGCGCTGAATAATCCAGAATGGGTTTAGCGCTTCCCCATGAATAATAATATTAATAATCATAGTAATAATGTGATTATGTAATAATTAATAATGATAATTTACATAAAATATAATTAATAATAATGATAATATAATAATTAATAATATAATAATAGATTAATAACAATTAATAATGGCTAATAATAATTAATAATAATGGTTAATAATAACAATTAAAAAAATAAATAATAAAATAATTAATAAAATAAAATAATAAATAACAATAATAGTAATATTAATATTATTCAATGATAATATTTAATAACAATAACAATGATAATATTTAATAGCAATAATCATAAAAATAATTAATAACAGCAATAATAATAATAATAATAATAATAATAATAATAATATCAGTATGGGTGTCTGAAAGACAAACGACCAACACGCTCCATTATCAAAGCTAATTATCCAGGTCATTAGGAGTCAATAAACACAAGCAACATCAAAAGCGTAAATAATTAGTACCGAGTGTTAACCTTCATGGATTACATAAATTACTTACGGAATGTAAGTGATAATCCAGTGCACAGCGTTATGAATATGTCACAGCGTTATATGTTATAGCGGTATTAATATGTATACCAGTCGTCAGGATGATAATTTCGATCACCCGGGGGCATGATTGTAAATTAGCAGAACAGATCATTGTAAATCATGCCTTGGATGAGGTGGAATAGGATAATTTATTATTATTACTACTACTACTACTACTACTACTACTACTACTACTACTACTACTACTACTACTACTACTACTACAGAGCTTCTTACACTATGTATAAATACTATTATTATTTTATGCTTAATACAGGTTTACTCTCAATTTACGCTGTTTAGCCGAATAAGTCTTAATTTTTAGCTGAAAAATTTCCTTAAAATAAACTCGAAAAAACGTGAATTTATAGCAATATATTAATGTTTTTAATTTCACATTGATGATTTAAAGATTTTTGGTGACACTTTTGTCCCCATGGAGCGCCAAAGGTTTCTCACCTGCTAGGTCTCGTCGTGGATTTGCTCTGTGACTTCCTCCATCGTCGCCGACTCTATCCTGAGGAAAGGTGTCCCCGTCAGGTGGTTCTCCTTAGCTGCTTCAGCAGCTGGTGTGGTCTCTCTCCCGGACATCATCTCTCCTGTACCGCCGGCCTTGCCACGGCGGGCGTCATCCCTCTCCGGCCGGTGCACCAGCAGAGAGACGCTCTCCACCGTCGGTCGCTTCGCAGACACACTGCTGAGGGTGTTGCCTGAGCGTCGCACCGGACAAGAGGTCTGGAAACAGGCAGTGAAGTTACTTAACAGGGGTAAAATGCAATTGAGATGCTTCTGCCTGTCGACAGGCTTCTCCAGTCAAAGAAGCCTGAAGAAAAAGCCTGCCCACAGGCGAAACGTCTCAGTAAAGTTCCTCTCAGAATTATTTTTTCATCATTTGTCGGCTTTTAGCCATTTGTCTCCAGGGAAAAATAACGTACACTCATACATAACACCTGGTCGAAATAAGTGTTGTGATAATGCCCAGGAGACCTTATGAACATTACCAGGAGCTGAGGCTCCTCCTGCAACTGCAAATAGGTGATTTTACACGATGTCAGGTGCGAATCAATCCACGTAGTCACAAGCAGATTACATGACACACACACACACACACACACACACACACACACACACACACACACACACACACACACACACACACACACACACACACACACACACACACACACACAAACAAGGTGTATACAATGAAACTTTGGCAGTCCATTGTTTCTGGATCTAGCAGGTCTGTCAGGCTACACCAGGGATCTGTCAGGCCACAATGGACTTAAAACAGCAAGTCGTATAGAACCAGCACAAGTGTTATGGCCCTCATCCTGCTAAGACTCCTCTGCTGCCACTCCCATCAACATAAAACGGCTTATTTACGAGAATGGTTGTATACAAGCCCAGCTAAGTGTTAAACATTTTAGTACTGACGCAGAGGTAGGGAAGGAAGGGCAAGGGAGAGTGGGGAAGGAAGGGCAAGGGAGAGTGGGGAAGGAAGGGCAAGGGAGAGTGGGGAAGGAAGGGCAAGGGAGAGTGGGGAAGGAAGGGCAAGGGAGAGTGGGGAAGGAAGGACAAGGGAGAGTGGGAAGGAAGGACAAGGGAGAGTGGGGAAGGAAGGACAAGGGAGAGTGGGGAAGGAAGGGCAAGGGGGAGTGGGGAAGGAAGGACAAGGGGGAGTGGGGAAGGAAGGACAAGGGAGAGTGGGGAAGGAAGGACAAGGGAGAGTGGGGAAGGAAGGACAAGGGAGAGTGGGGAAGGAAGGGCAAGGGAGAGTGGGGAAGGAAGGGCAAGGGAGAGTGGGAAGGAAGGGCAAGGGAGAGTGGGGAAGGAAGGGCAAGGGAGAGTGGGAGAGGTCAAGGGAGGGTGAGAGAGTGGGGAAGGGAGGGCGAGGGAGTGTAGCAAGATATGATGAAGAGAGCGAAGGCAGGAAAGATGGGGATGAGAAGGTAGGAAGAGCGAGAGAGTTGGTAACGAGGACAAAAGAGCGGGGCAGCAAAAAAAACTTGTGGCTTTTGGTTCAAACTATTTAGGTGTGCACACCTAATTGTACTCGCCTAATTGTGATTGCAGGGGTCGATACTCAGCTCCTGGCCCTACCTCTTCACTGACGCTACTGGGTCCTCCCTCTCCCTGCTTCGTGAGCTTTATCATACCTCATCTTAAAACTATGTATGGTTCCTGCCTCCACTACATCACTTGCCAGACTATTCCACTTCCTAACAACTCTGTAGCTGAAGAAATACTTCCTAACATCCCTCTGACTCATCTGAATCTTCAACTTCCAATTGTGACCCCTTGTTTCTGTGTCCCATCTCTGGAACATCCTGTTTATCCACCTTATCTGTTCCACGCAGCATTTTGTATGTCGCTATCATTGTGTGTGTGTGTGTGTGTGTGTGTGTGTGTGTGTGTGTGTGTGTGTGTATTTTGTTTCTTTCTTTTATAACCCTGTATTACAGTGCGCGTCTGCATTATAAGCAAGCGTTTATTTACATAACACAATTATTGGTGCATACTAATGGCATCAACAGGCCTCGTTCCTCCTTCAAATATAAAAAAACAGTACTTTTATCACTATGAATTTGCAGAATGTGTTACTAATTTCTTTTTACTCTGGAGAGTCTTGGTAATGAGTGTTATTTGCCAATATAACATTCTCTGACCCTTAAAATACTGAGCTGAATAATCAGCCATATATCCTTAACAACATGTCTAGTACTTGGGAGAACTAACACTGTTCTGTTTCCATTGTGTCCTTGAAATCTGAACACATTTTCCACAAACTCCACGACACTGACGCCTTTTCGATTACCCACACTAAATATTTCTACGCATGTCAACAGATTCTAGTTCCTGGGATGTGTCACTAAAGATTCAGTATTTCAGAAAAAAATAATTTTACCCATTTGATATAAGCATTTCACTTCATACAATTGTTCCCTTTCATGTGAGATTTAGATGCTGGGTCGAGGCGGCTGCTGTGTGTATCTTCATATTGACAATTATATTGCTCAGGTATTATACTGTGGTTAAGCCTTCTGTATGAATGTCTGTGTGTCGGAATAAAATATATAGATTTTTACTGTATAATGAATGAGGGTTCGGTTGATATTATATACACACGCACACGCACACGCACACTTCTATACACACATTTATTGCCATGCTAATGTGCTTGACAACTGTACCTTTAAAAATTGAGACTACGTGGATAGAAATGGTAAAAAATGCGGACACGATGAATGAAGACACAAAGGCAGTATAACGTGATCTTTTACTGACAACGTTTCGCCCATACAATGAGCTTTATCAAGTCACAAACAGATCAATTTGTTACTTGAAGCCCACTGTGCGAGCGAAAAGTTGTTACTAAAGGCTCGCACTATACTACCTTCATATCTTGATCCACTGAGGATATGTGCTAAAAATGATAGTATAAGTCATAACCAGACGCTTAACATGGTAGAGAATTCTGACCTTTCTTAGTAGTATTGGAAGTGCTTGCGTCATCTCCTTGCGCAGGTTGGTGTTGAGCCAGCCGTAGAGGATGGGGTTGATACAGGCTGAGCTCATGGCGACGGCGTGGCACGACCCAAACACCATGTAGAAATACTCGGGCTCTTGGAAGCCAGCGTAGTTGAAATCCGCCAGCAGGTTGACCACATGCCAGGGAAGCCAACAGATGGCGAAGGTAACGGCGATAGAGGTGAGCAGTATTGTGGTCCTCCTATTACGCTCGATTTCCCTCTGCGCTCTGCGGGCGTCCCGTTGCGACATCTTATGGCTGCTCAGGTAGTTGTGTATCCTGCCGTGCACGAAGCTCAGCACCAGGATGGGGATAATGTACTGCATAACGATGAGAGTAATGTTCCAAGTGTATTTCACCACCGGTGACGACCACGACTCCATACACTTCTCATACAGAAGGTAGTCCTTGATCTGCACCTTCTTCACGAAGTAATAGGCAAATAAAGGCAGTGGGAACACTAAAGATACTAGCCATATGGCAGCTACGGACCACGGTATGTATGCCCGAGGGTCTTTACTTCTCTTGACACAAACTATCGTTAAGTAGCGATCAGCTGCGATGGCCACGATAGTCGCTGTTGACACGAGAATGTTGGTACATTGCAACACCGGCACTAACTTGCAGATTAAGTTTCCCAGACTCCAGTTCTTGTGCAAGAGACCTACCAGAGTGAATGGCATACACACCAGGCACATACTGACGTCAGACACAGTCAGGTTGACGATATAAACGTTGCGAGCGGTTCTTAGCTCCGGTCGATGACCGATGACGAAAGCCACAATGAGGTTTCCTAAGATCCCGACTGTTATCAGGAGGGAGTAGATGGTGATGAGGGAAACCTTGGCGGCCGTTCCCAGGTAGCTCTTCTGGTTGGTCTCCTGCAGGATGTTGACGATCTCCTGCCAGTGGAGGGTTTGGTTGGCTCCTGTTGGAAGCACCGAACTCATCAGGAATGACTCCAGCTGGTCGGTGAATGGATTGACTTCTTCCCCGATGGTGGTTCCGGGAACGACGTGTCCCTCAAGAGCCTTGTACTCGTCCGGCTGTAGTGGACACATGACGCCCGTGCACAGCTCTGGCTCCAAGGTGAAAGATATGTTTTCCATGTCAACACAGGGCACACTTATTATGAATGGAATAAAAATTTACCGAATTACTCAGTCACTGACTACCAGTAACACTTGACCTATACTGCAACTTTTTACGCGCATGAAAATATAGTCCACCGTGGACAGGAATATATCAGGGGAACTTATATTTAGGAGACGTTTCGCCTACCAGGGTGTCTTCTTTATACAATAATAACAGTTGTGCAGGGACGTATCAGAGTAAGTTCCCGCAGTGAGGTAGAAACTTAAGAGGTCGGCGGGCTGGACCCTCTCACCAGTGGAAGTAAACAACTAGAGCACCATCGTTACCGAGCACCGAATTCCCTCACTACACCATCTTAGCGGATCCAGACCTTGTGAATTCACATCAGCTGCTGTAAAGGATACACCAGTTCCGGCATCCAGGGCCCAGCAGCTAAAGCCTTAGGCCTTTTATGGCCTCCTTTCTTCCAAGGATCTAGTATATGTCTGCATTCCACTTCAGCACCTCTGTTGAGCTTCCCTTATACTTACGACAACATCCTGTTCACTGTTTACATACTAGGTATAATGCATATAAATTTTACTCAAAGGAGCATGATTCGCTGGTATTCGCATTAGTGCGAAATTTTGCCTGAATTATTACCGCTCTAGCGATTATTTTTCTCTCTTCCATGTTGCCTGGGTATCTGCTAGCAGTCTGGCTTTTCAGGTGTACAGGCGGTGTGGCCAGTGTGTAGGCGGTGTGGCCAGTGCGTAGGCTTGCGTTTGACTAAGATAACAATCGCTGGGTGTGGACGATCTCTAAAGTATCAGAAACTGCAGGCGGTCTTCACCTCACGTCTGCATCTCATGTCCTACAACCTGCAACAACAAGAGACCTCTTTATAAAGAGAGAGAGAGAGAGAGAGAGAGAGAGAGAGAGAGAGAGAGAGAGAGAGAGAGAGAGAGAGAGAGAGAGAGAGAGAGAGAGAGAGAGAGAGAGAGAGTGTGTGTGTGTTCCACCCTTCCATAAATCCCTGTATACCGGAGTAGCACTTTGAAGATTGAGTTGCTGACTACACGCTAATGTCCCTTCAGGTGGGAAGTTTGCCTTGACACCAGTGATGAGCTATTGATCCAAGGCATTGAAGCTACTCTTCCCTTCCATGGATCAAACCTGATGGTGTAGTTGCAGTAGTGATGGTGGGTGGTGGAGGTAGTTGTGGTAGTGATGGTAGGGGGTTGTGGTAGTGGTGGATGGTTGTTATGGTGGTTCATATGTTAGGGAAAGTGGTTCATGTAGTAACGACGATGATAGTTGTAGTTATGGTAGTATTGGTGATGGTAGTTGTGGTACCGAAGGTGGTTGTAGTGATTTCCGATGGTAATTGTTGTTGTAGTGAAGGTGGTAGGAGTTGTGGCATCGATGATGGTAGCTACAATGACAACCGTGGTAGTTATGGTTGTAGTTTTGGTAGTACAATAGTAGAAAGGATAGTGGTAGGTGTAGTAGTTATAGCTGTAGTTATGGTAACAGTGGTGACAAGGGTGGTAGGTGTGGCGTCGAAAGTGTTAGTTCCATTAGTTATGGTGGTGGTGGTGGTGTTGGTGATGATGGTGATGGTGGCGGTAATGGTGGTGATGGTGGTGGTGGTGGTAATGGTGGTGGTGGTGGTAATGGTGATGGTGGTGGTGGTGGTAATGGTGGTGGTGATGATGGTGGTAATGGTGGTGGTGATGATGTGGTAATGGTGGTGGTGATGATGGTGGTAATGGTGGTGGTGATGATGGTGGTAATGGTGGTGGTGATGATGGTGGTAATGGTGGTGGTGATGATGGTGGTGGTGGTGGTAATGGTGGTAATGGTGGTGGTGATGATGGTGGTGGTGGTGGTAATGGTGGTGGTGGTAATGGTGGTGGTGGTGGTAATGGTGGTGGTGGTAATGGTGGTGGTGGTAATGGTGGTGGTGGTAATGGTGGTGGTGGTGATGGTGGTAGTGGTGATGATGGTGGTGGTGATGATGGTGGTGGTGATGATGGTGGTGGTGATGATGGTGGTGGTGATGGTGGTGGTGGTGATGATGGTGGTGGTGATGATGGTGGTGGTGATGATGGTGGTGGTGGTGGTAATGGTGGTGGTGGTGATGGTGGTGGTGATGGTGGTGGTGTTGGTGGTGGTAAATGGTGGTGGTGATGGTGGTGGTAATGGTGGTGGTAATGGTGGTGGTAATGGTGGTGGTAATGGTGGTGGTAATGGTGGTGGTAATGGTGGTTGTGGTGGTGGTGGTGTTGAGAAACACAAGGTAACATACAACCTAAAATACCCACAAATACGATATAAAGAACCCATCTTCAGCATCATGTTTAAAAAAACATCGATACATTTCTCTCATTAAAATATACCGATATGGCAAGTGTTTAATTGAGAGAGAGAGAGAGAGAGAGAGAGAGAGAGAGAGAGAGAGAGAGAGAGAGAGAGAGAGAGAGGTAAGTACCGACGTCTCCAGAGGATCTACAAACTGGGGTGACGCAGGTGATGGTAAATGAACTAATTGCATCGTCAAGATTAATACCTAACTCTCAGCTTCACGGAGCACAGATACACCTGGAAAATGCTGTCGTCTGCGTCTCCTTTGATATGATTAAAGCCTTTGAGGACGGTATAGCGTATTGTTACACCTGCAGGAGCTGTGAATCGACCCCTGCAACCACTAATAGGCGAGTACATACGACCCCTAAAGGTTTAGCACCTCCCAGTTTAAAACAAAAACGATTTAGGAAAGCAAGAAGAGATGCAAAAAAATAAAAACATTAAGCCAGATCTGGACATAATTGCAATAAAAAAAAAATCAGACAAGTAAAATATTATGCCAAAATATGAATAAAAAGATATTCAAGAATATTATAGAGGCCCTGACAAGACGTGGCTGCTTGGAGCGCCTCTTACGGCGAGAAGATGAGTTATAAGACACATGAACAACACTTGGGTGTTGGTCTTTATTTGAAGACTCTTTAACATGTTCATTTTTCCACTATAATCTACCTTGTCCATAATTACTATCGCATTTACTTTGTTTCGTAAGGTGAAGTCCAGGATCTTTCCTTAATTCGTGGTATAACTTAACAATTGTGTTGAGCTTTGCTCAGACCTCTGCAACACAATTGTTAAGTTATACCATGAATTAAGGAAAGATCCTGGACTTCACCTTACGAAACAAACAAAGCAAATACGATAGTAATTATGCGCAAGGTAGATTATAGTGGAAAAGTGAACACATTATCAGAAGACGGGGGAACTTAGGTGCCTCTTAAGTGAACCAGACACTTCGCCAAGCAATCCACTCATCTTTCACAAAAAGTAGAAGACGAGGGACCGATTACCTCATACTTCACAGTCTTCTGTGTATAGTTCTGCAAGGCTGAGAGACTGATTACCCCATATTTTTACTGTCTGCGTATATTACCTCTCTCTCTCTCTACTGAATCGAATATAAGGGTACCGGTTAGCAAAGCGATTTTAAATAAGGATGCCCGGGTTTGTACATGATTCTGCAGCTTGTCTGTATTGCATATATTAATGTAATGTTAATCCCCAAACAGTGATAGACGATTCTCTATAACCAGAAGACAGCGCACCGTCATATATGGGATCGTGTGTGTGTGTGTGTGTGTGTGTGTGTGTGTGTGTGTGTGTGTGTGTGTGTGTGTGTGTGTGTGTGTGTGTGTGTGTGTGTGTGTGTGTGTAATTTGTGGCGTGCTGCTGAATGGGTATCACATACCTAGAATATACCTGGAGAGGGTTTCGGGGGTCAACGCCCCTGTGGCCCGGTCTGGGACCAGGCCTCGTGGTGGATTCCTGATTAACCAGGCTCTTACTGATGGCCACACGTCAATTGATGAACTTCCTCTCTGAGATTATATCTTCCCCCATTCGTCGGCTATGCTTCATTTGTTTCCCGAAACATTGTTGCTCATTAGTCGCCTTCACGTGACATATCAGTAAAGCAGAAAGAGCCGGAAACGTATTCAGCAAAATGGATTTACGAAGCAATCATAGGAAAGGTGTGACAATGGGACCACCGGCATGTTGCAGGCCTTGTGCTCGAGATAACTTATCGTTGTGTGCCGGCAAAAAAGTTAGAGCTGGAATACAGGAAAAAAAGGGTAAAGAGAAAATAACACAAGCATGAAATAGGAGTGTGGATAAAAAAAAAGGTGTGAGACAGGAAAGACAGGAAATGTGGGGAAGCGGAGAGTGGGAGTGGCTTAGCAGTGTGGGAATGAAAGGCTCAGGAGAGAGTGTAGGTGACCGCACTCCCTGTCACAGTGCCAAAACTCAGCAATCTCTAAATAAGCAGCATCTGTAAAGAGCACTGGTGGAGGCAGCAAGGACCACTGGTGGAGGCAGCAAGCACCACTGGTGGAGGCAGCAAGCACCACTGGTGGAGGCAGCAAGCACCACTGGTGGAGGCAGCAAGCACCACTGGTGGAGGCAGCAAGGACCACTGGTGGAGGCAGCAAGCACCACTAGTGGAGGCAGCAAACACCATTAGTGGAGGCTGCAAGCATCAACACTGGTGGAGGTAGCAAGCACCACTAGTGGAGGCAGCAAGCACCACTAGTGGAGGCAGCAAGCACCATTAGTGGAGGCTGCATCACTGGTGGAAGCATCAACACTGGTGGAGGCAGCAAGCACCACTGGTGGAGGCAGCAAGCACCACTAGTGGAGGCAGCAAGCACCACTAGTGGAGGCAGCAAGCACCACTAGTGGAGTCAGCAAGCATCACTAGTGGAGGCAGCAAGCACCACTAGTGGAGGCAGCAAGCATCACTAGTGGAGGCAGCAAACACCACTAGTGGAGGCAGCAAACACCACTAGTGGAGGCAGCAAGCATCACTGGTGGAAGCATCAACATTGGTGGAGGCAGCAAGCACCACTGGTGGAGGCAGCAAGCACCACTGGTGGAGGCAGCAAGCACCACTAGTGGAGGCAGCAAGCAGCAAGCACCACTGGTGGAAGCAGTAAGCACCATTGGTGGAGAGAAGCTGTCTGATACGTGATGTTAACTCCCAGATCTCGCAGTTTGATTCTCTGAGATATTTTTCTGTAGTGTGATATTTTTTTGCCTTGTCTCTACTCGCTCTCCCATTTTTCATTATTCTGCATTTGCTGGGGTTCGAATTCCAGCAGCCGCTTTTACGACTCGCAGATCAGGAACAAGACACTCAGGTCCCATGATGGAGATGACGGTGAGAAGACTTACCTCCCTGTTGTTGTGAAAAGTTCTGGAGTGAAAAAAAAGGCAACTTTTCGCTCTGTTTTGAATGAGCAAGATGGTAAGCAGGAACCCGCAGGTGTTATGAAAGATAACACACATGCACGTAAGAAACAGAAAAGTCTGAAGATTTCGAGAACAACAGTGGGACGGAGGTCCCTCATTGTGTCTCTGGGAAAAAAGAGTACGTGTTGATTATTTCAACGCCTCCCACTGGGAAGCCTCAGGAGGTGGCCAGCATTATAAGGGAACAATATTTCTCTTGCGACACTAGTGACAAAAACAACCCCCCCCCATAATTTAAATGACTTTTTCAAAAACAGATTATGTTTAGATTCAACACGTGATTTCAAACTAACATCATTCAGGTTGAAGACTTTTTCGGGTTGCGAAGGAACGGCGAAGAAACGGAAGTATTTTTACCTCCATCACTAAGCTTAGGTAGGCAGGTATTGTTGACAAGTATGGAAGGAAAGGTTCTCGGTGTACAGAAAACAATGATAAAAGTGACGTTATGCACATCTCCAAGAAGTTCAGTGTCTACCAATGACACAGTTTTGTCTGCCAGTTGATTACAGGAAAATGTTGTTAAGAAAATGGGGAGGTG